GTTCAACTACTTAACTATAGAAAAGGCCTAATTCTTTTTTAAAAAATCATATACTTTAGCTCGGGTCACTTCTAGCCCCTAACTTCTTCTTTTTTGATCTCATAAGAATGCACCAAGTTAGAGTTGGTACCCAAATTTGGCCCTAGTCAAGTTTCCATCCAATGATGCCGTTAAAGATTCGACGTGTCATTTTACGTATACTTGACGACTCATGGTTGTGTTTTCATCTAACGATGAAGATGTCCGACTGCCAAAGGAGAAAATTGTTTCTATGAAATTTTGAGGTTTTGAGACAGTATGTCTGAACGAAAACGTATATGCATGGTGTTTGGACTAAAGTCTTAAACCTATTGTATTTGTGTTAATTCGGTCATAAATCTTTCAGTTTGGTCAATTTAGTCCTAAACTTTTTGCGTATGTGCCAATTGGGTCCATCGAACAATTTAGGCCGGAAATTGCTGACATGGACATTGATTGTCCTACGTGGCATGACCGACGCTGATGTTGATATTTTAAATAATTTTTTTGAAATTTTTTATTTTTTATTAATTTTTCTTTTCCTATTTGTTTGTGGCCGGTGAGGGTCGCTGGACATTGGGCGAGGGCCGTGAAGCCCTCCCCGGTCGTCGATGAGGGTTGTGGGTAAAGGCGGCTGGAGCGGCTGGCCTCGCCTACTCCTGCTTGGCTCGCCCTGACCATCACCAGGCGGGCGCGGGCAAGGCCAACCACATCAAGACCTCGCCGGCCGCTGGCCAAGGCAACCTCGCCCTCGCCCATGCCTGCCTCGGCCTTGCCCACATTTGGGCGAGACCGAGTGAGGCCACGACCCTCACCAGCGGTCGACGAGCTCCGGCGAACCTCGCCGGCCACATAGGAAAAAAAGGAAAGAAGGAAAAGGAAAATTTAAAAAAAAAGGAAAAAGAAAAGAAAAGTTAATAAAAAATTAGAAAAAATTATTCAAAATTTCCACGTCAATGACAGTTGTGTCATGTGAAACGTTTGGCGTTCACGTTAACGATTTCCGGCTTAAATTGATCGGATAAACTTAATTGCCATAAATGAAAAATGTTTAGGATTAAATTGGCCAAATGAAAGATTTATGACCGAATTGATATCGATGTAATAGGTTTATGACTTTTTTGGTACTTTTTCCAAAAACAAGTAAGATTGTGATTAATTATCTCTTAAAGCATAAAGTAAGAATGGGTGAGAATCTGTTGTCTAGATAAGCATGCTTGCAATCTTGCCCGTGGTCTCCCAGGCAAAAGGTTGAAGAAAGTTTTTCTCGTACAAAACAAGATTATTTAATTTTGGGCCATCGTAATTCTAGATAGTAGTTGGGGCGAATCTATAAATTAAAGGACCACGTTAAAAAAAGTATAATTCAATGATATAATAATAATAATGAAGGACCAAATTGAATATTAAGTGAAAGTTCAAGGATAATCGTGTCATTTGGTGAATACTCTCCCTCTCCATTGGTGAATACTCGACCAACGGGATAATTACCCAATTGGTTTTAAATTTATTAACGGATGCTAATTCAATCTTAAATTTTTTTTATTTTGTCAATGTATTTCTAAATCTTTTCGCGAAATTCCAATGCAATCCTTCTGACTAATCGCTGCCGGCAATTGATGGTGTGACGTCCAATCATCACTGGCCATCGTATGTGGCATGCTGACATGGACAACTTGTGAATCATCATGTTAGCGATTTCAAGAAGCAATTGACCGGAAGGACTAAATTGAAATTTCGTCCAAAGGTTTAGGACTACATTAGCAAATTTGAAAAGTTTAGGACTCAATTGGCGTGTAATCAATAGGTTTAGGACTGAATTGACATTAGTAATCCACCACAAACTTTGGCTAAAAAAAATCGTCTATTTACTTTCATTTGATTTTTTTTTTTGCTCAGAAACTTTCATTTGTTTCAAAATCATGTCATTTTAGAAAGTACTCAACGTTTATTCTGACAGACTTTTGTTTTTTGGTCGATACATGACAGACTTTATTGATTTGGAAGAAGGGCATTGGATGGCCACCACATCTTGTAAAAAGTTTCAAAGTCATCTCTTTACTTTTGTAAAATTATTAAGAAAAGTCTTAAGAATAATTTGCATTTTCACGAGCTACATAGACGATTTTAAGGGAGCACTCCTCTACGTCGGCATGATGTGTCGATGAGCAATTCCGTTAACCATTTGAGGCAATTCGCAAGCTACCAACGCACGGCGGCGCGACCGTGGCTCTGGAAAATCGGACCGGGGTAATAATTAGGGTTAATACCACGAAAATTTCAAATCGGTACATCTACGATTAATTTACTCTAAATTAATTTTTTGACTATCAAAAACACCAAACTGGTACACTTGTGACAAATTTACCTTAAACTAATTTTTTGACTATAAAGAATCCCAAACTGGTACATTTGTGACAAATTTTTCTTCCATTAAATTGGATTAATATCACAAAAAATCACAAGCTGGTACACTTGTGACAAACGGGGGAGGGTAAAACCTCAAGTTAGTACACTCGTCAACTACCGCGTGTCATCCAACTCAGAAATTTGACGGTAAAATTTAACGAAAACTATCAGAGGGTAAATTTGTCATAGGTATATCAGTTTGAAGTTTTTGATGGTCAAAAATTTAATTTGGGATAAATTTATCATAAATATACAAAATTGAAGTTTTTCGTGATATTAACCGCCATCAATACCTTACAAGTTACAACGCTCGGTGGACACAAAGACACAGGCGGGTGTCATTGGGTTTGGTTGTGTTTCACTTAATTAAACAGTGTGCGCTTGGTAGTATGCGCAGGCATAAATTCAAAATGATCTTTGCAACTTGAAATTTTCAAAGTCCTACACTTTACACTTTGAACTCTCTTGGAAAAAACAATGTAGGAAAATTAGATGACTAATGGATCCTACACAAAGTGTAAATCTCTTCTTCTTCTTTTTTGCCGAAGTGTATTAGAAATTACAGAAACATTCATGTAGATTTCCCTAACATTTCGTCGCAAAAATATCCCAACGAACTTAAAAGAAAAACGATATAAAAGTATTGCAATTGTAAATGCATCGACCACCCGATTTACATATACACATGACCGATATTTTGAGTACCGAATATGTTCACGTTAAACAAAACGGCCCCGCTTTTGAAACGACGCCCGGGTAACACATGGGTTTAGCCCCTTTTCTAATCACCCCATCAAACTACGAATCGAGTTGATAACAGATGCTAGCTACGAGCTACTACTAAAATAAATTCGACAATGAAAGGAGAAACCGGGAAAAAATGAAAAAAAGAAGAAAAAGAAAAGAAAAGAAGAAGAAGCTTTTTTTTTTCAGGACTAAATATGTACATAACAAGTATATGGGCCAAATTTTTTAAAATTTTTTTTTTAAAAATTACAAAAAGAAAAACAAGAATGAAGTGTAGCAATAGAGGACCAGGACTTGGTCTACCATGCCCTAACAAAACGGCATTCACCTTCCCTTCCCCCCGCGCAACACTCCCAATTCCTTTGGACTTGGTTGTTTTTTTATTTTTCATCACACATTCCAAATTCAACCCTCCTTGGGATCCAACTTTCAAGGAGCATTTCTCTCTCTCTCTCACTCTCTAGAAAAGATGCTGCTTCAACCCAACCCAAGTTCACTACTTTCTTGGTCAAAACGCCCCCCCACATTAAACTCCTTTATGTTAATCATGCCTTATCCTCCTCCTCCTCCTCTTCTTTTCTTTTTTTTTAACCACCTTTTTAGAAGGAAAAAAATTGAATCTAAAAGGGTTTTGTTTGTTTCGTTGGAAAATAAACGGTTCGGAAAAATATCGTTATAAAATATTATTTGGGATAAAAATATTTCCGCTATATTTTCGCGGACGGTGAAAATGTTTTCCGCTCGTTCATTTTCGTAACCGATACAGGAGATAATCATTCGTTCTCTTGCGAAACAAACGGACCCCCGACCTGACCGATGAATAGGGCGGCGCCGGCTTGCTGTCGCCGGGTCTCGTACCGGACCGCAGCTTCGCCCGGCAATCCGACTTGCCAGAACAGTCGACGGCGGTCCCACGGAATCCCTCGCGTTTCGGGACTCGGGAAAACGATTAATGGAACTTTGGTTTAGCCCCTTTTTTCAATTTTCAGCATTTCTTCTTATTATTATTTGTGCAGCTTCCCCCCCCAAAGTGGTGTCCTGTCAGCGAATCTCGAGTCACAGGCGGGTGACCCAGACGGGGGGGGGGGGGGGGGGGGGGGAGGGCCGTTTCTTTTCCTCCCCTATTAATTGCCCTTTTTGGTTCTCGCCTCGTGGTTACAACACAAAAGGCAAAAAGCAGCAGTTTCCGTTGACCTGACCTGGGACGAGCGCCACCTGTCATGCCGGGAGGCGCCCAAAAAAGGAAGAAAAGAAAAGAAAAGGGAAATAATAAAAAAATAATAAGGAAAATTAAAAAAAAAATCCATCATCCTCCTCCGTACCCTAAAAAAAGGCCCCCCCTCTTTTTTTTTTAAAGAATTCAATTATTATTTTGTTTTGTGAACAGCAACAGTAATTTTCATTACATTTTCTCGACGATGGTTTTTTTTAAAGATTTTTTTGCTTTTTTTTTTCCGCTACTATTGGGAATACATGATTTGTAAAAAAAAAATGAAAATGAGATTTGGGTAAAAGGCACTGATCTTGTCAATTGCACAAGTATGAAGTAAATGCAAGAAGGGGCAAAGCTGCGCGTGTTACTACACGTCTCTCTGCTTCCTTTCCTTTTCTCTCTGTTCTGCCCTTCATTGATGCGCTTCTATTAAAGCACGAAGAGGCAAAAAAAAAAAACTATTTTCTATTTTATTTGATAGTTTTTTCCGTTCTTTAAAAAGTAACTCCCAATCAAGAAAAACCCAATATTCTTTATTCAATTTTAATTTTTATGCATCGTAAAAATTCGTTCTTTACTTTTTTAATATCAACCCCCCCCCCCCCCCCTGCTGCAGAGGAGGGGTGGTGGAATGCTTGTCACCTACTCCTTCTTTTCAGATCCTTCTCCTTCTCTCTCTCTCTCTTCTTTCTCTCTCTAAAGGAACAGTGCTTGTGACCTCACGCAGCTCTCTGTTTCATTCGAAGATTGCCCCACTCTGTCTCATTCGCTCTGTTATCCTCTGTTTTTTCTTCTTTTTTTTTTGGGATTTCTCTGTTGTTAGATTGTTCTGATGGAGAGACACAAGTGCAAGCTCTGCTCCAAGAGCTTCTGCAATGGTAGAGCACTGGGCGGTCACATGAGGTCCCACCTGGCGAGCCTCCCCCTCCCTCCCAAGCCCGAGGAGGGAGAGGAGCAAGGACCGCCGGTTCAACTCGGGGGAGCCGAGGCGCCGCGCGCCCAGTCGGGTTCTTCGCTTCCCTCGTCCTCTTCCTCGGAGGAAGAGGAAGGGGAGGGAGATGAGGAGGCCCGGAAGCTTCAAGCTCAAGGGTACGGCCTGCGGGAAAACCCGAAGAAGAGCATTCGGTTGGCCGATCCGGAGTTCGCGATCGACGCCGGGTCCGTGGTGCTCCAAGATAGGGAGAGCGAGACCGAGTCGTCCAAGAACCCGGCGGGGAGGCGATCCAGGAGTTCGGCGACGGAGGGGACGACCCACCAGAGGCGTTTCTTCTCGGAGGAGGATCGCCGATGCCGGAAGAAGACGAAGCGCATGCCGAGCAAGGCCGAGTCGGCGAGCTCGATCTCCGACGAGACGACGGAGGAGGACCTCGCTTTCTGCCTCATGATGCTCTCCCGGGACAAGTGGAGGAGAGAGAAGAGCCATCGAGAACAAGAAAATGCGGACGATTCCGAGGAAGAGGAGGACGAAGACGACGACGAGGAAGATGAAAAGGATGAAGAAGACGAAGAAGAGAGCGAGGAATCCAAAGGGTTGGTGGCCAAGGCTCTGAGGAACAGGAACAGGGGAAATTACAGGTGCGAGACGTGCGACCGGACGTTCCGGTCGTACCAAGCGCTCGGTGGTCACAGGGCGAGCCACAAGAAGAGCAAACTCAGCGACCGCCCCGACCCGCCGGAGGCCGCCGAGAACGTGGGCGAGAACGCCAACCCGAGCTCCTCCAAAGTCCACGAATGCCCCTTCTGCTTCAGAGTTTTCGCCTCGGGCCAAGCCCTGGGCGGGCACAAGAGGTCGCACGCCATCAATTCGACGGCGGCGGCGGCGGCGGCGGCCACGGCGACGACGGGGGCCGTCAAGAAGACGAGCCACCACGTCAAGGCCAGAGCGGCGGCCTGGATCGATCTTAATCTCCCCGCTCCAGCCGATGACGACGAGGACGAGGACGACCAGCTGAGCCAGGTCGAGCACTCGGCCTTGTCGGAAGCTGAGTTCGTGAACCGAGTCAAGAGATGATCGAGTTAGTTAGATACACGATTTTTCAGAGGTAAAACCCCCCCCCCCCCAAAAAAAAAAAGAAGAAAAATCAATCTTTTTTTGCCCCCATCATTTTTGGTTCTTCTTTTAGCGAAAAAATTGGATCTAAGGCCATGCAATTTAGTTACTTTTGCTATTCCGATGGTATTCAGTTCAGATATTATTATTATTATTATTATTATTATTATTATTACCAGCATAATTGATCATTAATACTAACTGTAATTCTTTTTTTATTTTCCTTTATTTTTTCCTTCTTATTTTTTGGGTGGTTGAGGGTTCTTTTTGTTTCCAGTTGTTTATTTTCTGTAACAACTGATCGAATTCATAACATCCGTCGATGCAGTTATGCGTTTAGAAGTGGGAGTTATGAAAATTTATGAAGTGGGAGACTTTGTAGTGGTTGCTTCTCCTAATTGAAGCATTAAATTCGACATGGAACTCGACACCACCTGATAGAACCCGGGTTCCGATGTCACGTCGGAAAGTCCGACCCGAAAGCTTAAGCAATAGGTGGAGAGAGGCCGCGTGTATATAAAAGAGCACGTAAAGAGCATGTGAATCCCATGAACAAGCGAAGAGAAGATTTCGTTTTTTAAGTTGCTTAATGGGTGCAGTCAAGACCAATTTTTGATAAAGTGCTTGCTAATTTAGCCAATGGGTTTTGGAGTTGGTGCAGCTACCTGTTCTGGCCATTGAATAGAGGAGCCATGCTTCACGGAAAACAGAGAGATATTGGAGCAACTTGGTTCTTTTTATTAGCAGAAAAAGAAGCTGCTGCTGCTGCTTCTCTGTTACCTTCCCTTGGTTCTTCTTTGATTCGACAGCTCTGCTCCTGTTCTCTGTCTCTTCCTCTCTAGTTTCTGCCACGCATGTTGCTGTGTGCTTTTGGTTTTGGGTGAGATTGCTAGATTGGAACATAAGCAGCTCTAACTTTACAAGATCTAGAGGAGATTAAAAGGGGGTTAGGTTGAAAAGGGGGGTGTCTATTTTCATGGTTCGTTTAGCTCTCATCTAGCATTTATAATTCTTTGACATTTTAGTTTAGATGAACCGGAACTACATGAGCAGCTATAGCCTTCCTCAGTCTAGCTAGCCTTAGCATATTTGAAAAATAGATTGAAAGGAGATTCATCTCTATGAAAGGGCGGCATGGAGGGTGATAATTTGTGCGTCCTTCTATTCTTCTTGGTTGTTCGCGACGTTTCGTGTCATCACCGGGTTGCTTCGACATGATCAGGAAGCGTTTTGCGTAAGGAACGGGTGAAAATGTGCCGATTTGTGTCGGTTTCGAGTTACGCCATGTCACGACCTGGTTCAGATTTCTTTTGTAGCGAAACTCGATGGGGTCTGTTTTTTCTAACATATAGCGCCGGTGTAATGAAAATTTTACATTAGTGGTCTTATCTACCATTGATTTAAGTATTATAACTATCAATTCTGTTAAATCAATGATGTATAAGTCCACTTGCGTAAATTTTTAGTAAGTGGTGTATGTTATAATTACTCTTATTCATTATACTAAACCAATAATACAAGCCCCTATTCATGCTTAGAATTGTGTTTTTATAGTGTCTAGACATAGCTAAATAGGTCAACTTGAACGCGATTCGTTTAACGTGATTATATAAAAAAATGTCAACCCGAGCACGAACAATTTAATGAACAAGCAACCAGAATACGACCCGGATAACTTATTTAATTAGAATGCTAATCAAACATGGACATGACACGAGCAACCTGAAAAACTTTGTTGAGATGAGGTTTACTTTCTAGCGGCTTTCTGTTCATGAATTGATCTACTTAATATGACAATTTGCATGAAATCAACCAATTTTAGAAAATGACCAAAATAATTTCAGTTGAATCCTTTTTCTTGTTTAATCATGCAAAGTTAAATCTTCGTTGCAATTAATCTAATCGTATATTCTCATCATAACATAGATAACAAAAGAGTATCCAGCTATTATAATATAGTCACTAGTGGTAAAGAATGCAAATATCTAATTAACTTTGGCGAAATAGATTTATTGCAGGTCAAGTTATAATAAGGTCAATAGGATCCATGTACTTAAATAGACTAATTGGGTTAATATAACATAACTACAGTTTATACAGATTAAATTGCTCTAAGCTGTAACACCCTCGAAGTTGTACCAACTTAGAATCTATCTTACCTAACTTTGAGGCGTCGCAAATTAAAAACGTATATTACTAGACACATAAGACAAATAATTATAACCATGACACATCCACAGTTGTATCAAAAACACACTTGGTAATCATTCTTACAGAGTTGATATGATTACAACGTGAACACGATTAGCATAAGCTCAAATTTAACTAAATTGCATCATGTACGAGTCGTATTTACATGTCGTATCGGAAGTTCGTACTGTAGCCAAAGCTAGCGAGCATACATAGGAACTCATCAGCGTATCTTGTAAGATTGATTGCGGGCATTCCACATCCACATATATGAAAAAGATGTTGACTTGGACTGCCTTTTGTTTAAAGGTAATTGCTTTTTTTGAAGAGAAAAGGGGCGTGCGTTTTGGTTTGACTTCAAAAGTTTTTATAAAATTCTCCATGGAATTAAAAAATTTACGTTTAAACATTTTTAAAATCATTTGAAAACAATTTAAAATTAGCTCTAAAAAGGTTTTCTTTGAAGTGATTTTGCTTCTTTTTTTATTTTAATTTCGAGTATTTATTTTTGGTAGAAGTATTTTTTTTCAATTTAATTTCGAGTATTTGAGAGTGGATTTTTACTCTCTATGGTACAACGTGAAACTTTAACAATTTACAATTACTTTGAATGTCATTTTTTTTTTCAACTTTTAAAGCTAAAATCCTAGTTGAACAAAACCAAGAAAATTCTTCATAATGGTTTTCTCTTTCAATTTTTTATTTCTTTCTCAGGACTATTTCTCATCTATATCACTGTTTGTTCCCCCGCACTTGCATGCACTATCAGTTTAATTTTATCAGATATATACTCTAAAATTAGGTAATATTAGTTGCTTCAGATGCTGCATCCTTCATATAAAAGTAATAATAATTGACTTTAACTTTATACATAGATGGCTGCATGTCTTACCCTAATGTTCTCTTTTTCTTTTTTCATCTTTTTTTTATATTATAATTCCTCGCATATTTAGATTCCAGAAAAGCAATAAAGACATACACAACTCTCCAGCCAAACCACAAGTCTCAAAATCAACTACACTATACATCTTCTCTGGCTTAGCAAAAACTATAATCAACAAAAAAAAGAAGCATAAACAGACATGGATACCTGTATAGTAGCTATGCACATCTAACACAAAAAAGAAAAATGCCCAAAAAGTCCTAATGGGTCTATACGGGCGACCCCTTTTCTATTAATCAGTTGGTGTAGAACCTTAAAGATGAAAAGGAACATTATGAGCAAACCGCAATTGATTGAGTAGTATGAATTTCTTCTAAGAAAAGGGAAAAGTACAAAAGAAGTCCTAAATCTATTGCATTAATATCAATTTCAGTCTTAAATATTTTAATTAGATCAATTTAATCCTAAACCTTTTAACATTGGTACGAATTGAGTCCATCCGGCCAATTCAGGTCAACAATTGCTAACGAAGACGCCAGGTGTCTTACGTGGCATGGTTGGCGCCGATGTGGACAATTTTTTTTTATAAATTTTTAATAAATTTTCGAATTTTTATTAATTTTTCCCATTTTAAATTTTTTTTCTTTTTTTTTTCCTTTTCTTACTTTGGCTTGTGGCTAGCGCTCGGCCATGGCCGGCGACTGGCCACAGGTGAGGGCGGCCTTCATCGGATCTGGCGAATGCTGGTCGCCGATCATGGACGAGCACCAACCACAAGCCAAAGAAAAAGGAAAAGAAAAAAAAGCGAAAGAAAAAATGAAAGGAAAAAAAAGAAAAAATGGAAAAAACTAATAAAAAATTTGAAAATTTATTAATAAATTAAAAAAAATTGTTTATGTTAGCGCCAATCGTGCCACGTAGGGCAACCGGTGTCCATGTCAGCAATTTCCAATATATATTGGCCGGATGGACTCAATTGGTGCAATTGTGAAAATGTTTAGGACTAAGTTGATTATAATGAAAGGTTTAAGACTGAATTAGCGTCATTACAATGGGTTTAGGACTTTTTTTGTACTTTTCCCTCTAAGTAAATCGGTGCATCCATTATGCATAGTCATAGACAATGCAATAGCAAATACGCATTATCCAAATTCGATATATCATATGTAACATACAAGACCAAAGATGAGTATATATCATTTCAACATAACTTCATGCATGACAAAATACTCATTCAATTAACAATATCAATGCAAACCTCAATGGTGCAGTCCACTAATTAATTAGTGCTCAACGTCACAATAATGGCCATACTTTATGACCCATTAAAAGGCGTACAAAGTTTTCCCTCTTGTTGTGGGTTTCCACCTATATTAGCTAGCGACTCCATACAAACATGACGTTATGTGAAGATGAAATACATTCCTACCCTGTCAATGGGTACTAATCATGCATAGAACAACTAACGCATCTCCTAAGTCAATCGTAAAACCGTTTTAGAATCACTTCACAAACTAGATTTACAAACCATTTCAAAGTAAACTACGAAAAGTACTTTTTCAAGCTCACAAATCATTTCGCCAGCATTTGTAGATGCCATTTCGAAAGATGACTGAGCATTTGTAAATACCATTTCGCTGACATGTCCACCGGCCGTCCCACATGCCAGCGATTGACACTAACATGGACGGTTTTTACAATTTTCTAAATATTTTATGATTTTTTATTTCTTCTCTTTTCTTTTCCACTTTCACTCCCCGAAAGGGGCAGGGGTCGCTAGGGTCTCGTCGATGGCCGACGAGGTCGCCATTCATTCCGGGAAGTGAACGGTGAAAATAGAAGAAATATATAAAAAATTCAAAAATAAAAATATAAAAATCATCTATGTTAGCGCTGGCCGTGCGTAGTATGATAACCGATGGCCATGTTAGCTATTTCCAACTAATTTTGATCATGAAAGACTACGTTGGCAAAATGTTGAAAGGTTTAGGACTGAATTGGCCAAATTGAAAAGTTTAGGACTGAATTAGCCACCAAAAAATAAGCTTATGACTTTTTAAATAATTATTCCAAAATATATACTCTGAACAATTCCATTCTATTTCTCGGTAACAACCTTCAT